ACACCAGAAAAGTCGGGGGTCATAAGGTCCCGCTCGTTAAGGATCTTCATATCCTTCTCATCGTACATCTCAGCCTTTCTCTCCTTCTCGTTCAGTTTCATACCGGCGAAGAGAACAGAGTGATGGCGCATGTCGAAGAGCTCATCGTAGTCGGTCTGGAGAACATTCTGAAGGATCTGAGCAGCAGCCATCGAGTGACGGTCAATCCTGCGGCCAATCAGGGCCTCAGCCAAGGCGTAGGGATTGACGGCACCGACGCAAGGGTTCTTGGGTGGGGAGTCGGGACGGGGACCATCCTTGCTGAACTCGTGGTCCCTGTTCATTTCGACGAGGTCTTCGTAGTCCTCCAAGGTGCTCTGAGATGAAGAGCCGGACATGCTCTCGATCTTGTGGCCAAGGATAGCCTCGACAAGGGCAATGACGTTGCTGTCTCTCTCGGAACCGCGGATGTCACCCATTTTGAATTTAAAAGTTAGGTAGAGTATGTTGTAATAAGCTAAAAGATGTTGTGATTTGTTGATAGCACTGAAGTCTTTGGAACTGAGCTGGAAACTTGTTGCTGCTGGTCTGCAAGTTGATAGAACTGCGTGACATTTGATGGGTCTTTATACCTTTTCAGGCAGACTAGAAGATCACACTTTTCTCCAATTGTGCCGCAAGCTTCGGTTCTGCAAGGTGAATCATGAATGCGTAAACCTCAACTCAAACAGCTCGTACGTGTTATGCATCTTTTCCCATCGTGCGAAGGTTTCGCATGGTCTGCTGCGGGGCAACAAAGACCACACATCAGAGCATCAGCTACATACACGAGGCCGAGACTTTCCAGCGTCGGACTCGATTCTGCAAGTCAGATCAGTGAGGTCTTCGTGGTCGTATTCACCTCTCAACGTGGACGAACCATTGGTCTGAGTGTCGACGAGTATCGCCAAAGTACCTGAGTCTCGCAGTCACATGTGAAATGAGCCCGCTTCAAATGCTGAAGCAGAGCTTGACGCTAGACGAAGTCAAAGGCTGACAACTCTTTCGTGCCCAAGTCCGTGAGGGGCCTGTCAGCACGACCTAGACTTCTCTGCAGAGCCCCGCGAAGTAGGTTTCACTGAAACCCTGAGAGGAGCATCGTGCAGTAGTCCGTGAGGGGTTACAATGTTGGGAGCAAATCTCAAGAGAGCATGTTCCCCGCGTGTGGACATGGGGCCATCATGAGGCTGAGAATCAGTCCCAACAAACTCAAGGCTGCAGCTTCAAAGGCTGATCAGAAACCGGGATCCTTCTGCGGCGGCAACATCGGAAGAAGCTGGGGAACTGGCCCGGTTTGAAGTGACGACCGAGCTAGACTCATAAATTGAGCAAATTGTCAGGTCTATGACATAAAAGCTATGTGCCACTGATGCTACCGATGAATAGCAAACTTTTGATCCCACGTGGCGGCGCGGACTTTGTGGCGTCTTGCTCCATTTCCCCAATGTTGCCCGCAACAAATGTAGGCCGTTTCTTGTTTAGGTTCTTGGACCCCTCATTCTTGCATTGATTCTCCAACTCCATTGGCTTTTTTCATTGCTGCCGTCTCCTTGCAGAGAAGCATCACAATCTTACGACCTTAAGCTTCATGTTGAATTACTTCTTATGGGCTCATAAAACACCCGACAATAACCGCATCAGACCGGTACAAGCACAAATTACTTCGAAATTCTTGGATGTCGGTATAGAGCAATCGAGGCTTTCAAGGTTGTGATGAGAGTTGCGGGGTACCGGCGAGGCGCGCGGGGTACGTGAAGTCTAAGACGGTAAGGCTATGTGCGGCATTCGGTTTCCTCTCCTGACTTTGACAAATGTGCCGGTTCCAGCCAGAGATGCAGTGTGACAAGGTGAGATTTGGACATTCGATGATGACGATAGCGCTTTTCGGCAGGTTCCAAGTCTCTAGACCAATGTCAATGACAGAACAATGACTGTTCAATGACTGTTAGAGAGAAAATGGCGTTTGTGGATGGTACTACCAGGTTTCTTCAGGGTAGATTGATATTGGTTCATCAAACATCCCATCTGGCTTACTGAAAATAACCCGAATCCGAAGTGCAGCTTTATCAGTAAATGTACACAAAAGTGCCGCATTGATAGCCCTCTATCGAAGAAATGCAGTCAGCATAGCGCAGCCCGACATTGGCCAAGTCCACAGCATTGGTGTTGGTAGAAAGAAAGGACGGTGTCTCAAGAGAATGTCGGGCCGAGCGGGGCGAGCGGCCCGAGCCCGATAGGGCGGACCCCGCCCGGCCAAAAGTGGAGTTCGTGGTGGATACCTCTGCCGCCTAACCGCCGGTTCAATAAGCCGAGAGGGACGGCGGAGGGGGAACTCTTTTCCTGGATGAACGTTTCTGTGCGCGCTTTGCCCCGAGAACTCACATACAGCGCGACTATCCAACCGGGTTCTGCGGCCAACATCACAATCATCTGAGCTGAAACCACGTCAAAGCAGCATTTCTGCTTCTGCTGCGGGCTGCGAGTGGCAGACTTTGGCTTACTGGCTCCAATGTTAAGATTTGCAAAGAGCAGCACAGTAAGAACAAGGTTTTCATTGGAAATTGGTCAATCATGAGATTGACCTTTTTCCTAGCCCCGGCGTACCAGAAAGTCGGGTCGGGCATCAACCAATGCCAAGTGCGTACAGCTACGCTCAACCTCATTGTTGACCATGAGCGTGCATTATTGCGGGGAATCGAGGACATCTTACCACAATGCACAATCAAAATCTCAATTCAAATGATCGGATAAGATTAGCGAGGGCTTAGAACTGCGTCTCAGCCTCCGTACGCCTGCTTGCGGGCTACGAGATGTTACAAGTCGGAAAAGATACTTTTCATGTTCTTGAGTCTTGAACTCAAAAATCTTCTGAATCTCCTTTCTCGATATTTCAAGTAATGGGTCCTTGAATTCGCTTAACTCATGGTAAAATGCAATTTCCGAGACTTTGAGGCGGAAAACTATGTATATGAGGTGATATCGCGAAATTCGCTGTGTCTACGTACAGCTGACGACAATCTAGTGGATCTCCATGTTTACACAGTGTGTCTGCACGATACACCCCTAAGTGGAGTTGATCTGGTCTTCAGATTGCGCTCTCCACAAGGCCCAAGCAATCTTACTGCTTGTTCACAGACATTCAGACGAGCTAAGGCCCGAACCACATCAGATGGGAGGAGCAACCTGGCTCCTGCGCGGCGACCATGAGAATAATTTTCACCTACCACATGCTTCGAGATTGGAATGATCAATGCATTGAGAGCTGCGTTCAGAACAGATCATCAAGCTCACGAGCATCCGGCTGTTGATGTGCCCAATCGTTATGTCTTTCTTGTCAGCTCTGAGGAATGAATGCATCAAGTTTGAAGTACGACTGACGGCTATCGTTTGGTGATGTCGTTTATCAGCTGTTTCGTGGCTCCAGGGGCCACTACCACATCGAGGGCCAGACGGCGTCAGGGCATACAAGAGACTTCGGTCCTTTAGAGATATACCGCTATTGCAAGCTCTGCTTTTTTTTCCCTTTTGCCACTTTTGTCTTATCTAGTACGTGCATACAAGGCTTGAGGATAGGCAGAGTAACGATAGAGAAATGCGGCACCATATGTGCTGACCCCGTCTCGGAATCGACGGTGCAGACCAAGCCTTGAAGTTTTCAATTGCGCCTAGTAGTCTCTCCCCCGTATACAATTGGTCCATAAAGCATAAGGTGATCGAATTCTGCTCGATCAGATGTCTATCTTATTCGGATAGATACAACCTCACCAAATTTCAAAGGCCCCTTTCCCAGCCATGCCAGGCATTCCCTAGCTCAGACAACAAGCGTAACGTATTTGATTCAAGATCGACAAAGACAAGACATTTCTTGGGTCATTTGTTTGGCCGGCATCCTTCCCTGCCAAGATGCAGCTTGAGTCTTCGGATCAAGTCCAGCCAGCCCCTTGCCAGAAGGCTGAAGATCCGAGACACACTTTCAAAATTCAAGCGACGTGATTCGTGAAGTGTCCGAGGGGGAATCTAGCCCGGAAATCGATCGTAGGGAGGACCAGATAGCCATTCCAAAAGTCCCAACGCTGTGGGAATCCTATTTCCACGACATGCGTGCCTCCCCTGCACACACGATCATGCAAAGGCACATAAAGCCAGAGGATCATCCTTGGGGGTGGAAGCAGCGCCGCATCCGCTCAGGTGTGCATATTTCCACCGCCTTGAGGAATTGCTCAACTCACGTCATATTGAATGAGGCGCACACTTTCTTCTACGAGAATGAGCATGGGAGAGATGTTGAACTCCACATCAATTTGCTCCTATTGCCCCAACTGCATGCTTGGCAGGATATGGGAGTTTACTGATTACCAAATCGCTCGATTATTGATGCATCTGTCCAAGATGAGAGACTGCGCTTTTCAATCCTCAAAGCCTCACTGCTGACAAGGACCAGAAAGCTGCCTCAGAGATTTTGAGTGTCTGGTTTCTCGGTCTTACCAAGACATCCAGATGAACTAAGTCAGCATGCCAGCAAAGGCAGTCTCCCATTCCCTAAAATGCCATTGTTAGTGTAACAAACAACCTGAGCTGTAATATCGCTACATTCTTGAGAGTTGAGACCAATCCTCTGAAGGAGTCAGGCTCCAGCCGCCGCGCAGTCAGTTTCGTTGTCTCCGAAGCCAATATACAATCCGCGTCCACCCATTGCGGGCTCGACGTAACATGGATAATGTTCATCAGTTCGATGCGAGGCACGAGGGTAGATGTTTGCCACTGCTCAAAACAGAAGCTAGCCTCTGAGTAGTTCTTCTAGCTCATCTTTCAAAAGGCTTCCCACGAACACCACTTGCGGCACTGCGCCTTGACCGGGAATTGCACTTCCAGAGAAGCAAACGAAAGTGTACAAGATATTCAGTAAACCCATTCGGTCGGCCAAGTTCTTTACACAAAGTATATCAACATCAAGCGGCGAACAACGACGTATGATCAGCACAATGGCGCGGTTTCCAGTAGCCCGGCTGCTCCTGGCATTGCTAGCAACGGCTTTCACCAAGGCGCAACTTTCCGATCAGTCGCAGTACAGCATCCCTTGCGTGATGCAATACGTCGGCTGTGTCCTCATCCCAAACTTCAACACGGTCTTCAGCCGTCTACTGGGCGACGCTGCTCTGACTCCTGGCAAGTGCCAGCGATTCTGCAGCGATCTTGGTTCGACGTACGGAAGCCTATACGACGGTTACTACTGCAGATGTTCAATTGTGCCCGAGACGGTATCGCCTGTCATCATTTCAGTAGCCGAATCTCTATGCAACAGAGTGTGCCTAGGCGATTCAAACGCAAGATGTGGTGGTGACCCGAATTATCTCAATTTGTACAAAGCGGTTGCTACGTGCGGAACCAGCAGTACCACTGCCACGACATTGTCTTCATCCTCGACGTCAACCTCCTCCGTCTCCTCGTCATCTTCGTCCTCCTCGACGGACTCAACAACGTCGACCTCAACAACCTCAACGACCTCGACAACTTCAACGACCTCGACAACCTCAACAACCTCAACGACAAGAAGCATCCCAACGTTCCCAGTCAACACCCTAGTTCCCGCCCCCCTCGCACCAGCACGGTACATAGGTTGTGGCCCCTTAGATAACTCCATGGTCAGCGACGTCGATCTCCTCTTCAACCCCTTGGTGGCGAATCAACCAGTCGACTGTCAACAGTACTGCAAGACCAACAGGCGAACGATCACCATGATGTCAAAGTTTCTCTGCATTTGCAGTATCCTAGTGCCGGGAGCGGTAACACCGTTCTCATCAGAAATTCTCCCAAACGATAACTACTGCACAAATCCGTGCAGCTTGTTCCCCTCGGCGCCTTGTGGCGGTGCGATTCCGTTTGAGCTGGGCGCGCCGGTGTACACCGTGTACCAGCTGGACGAGAGCCTCCTCAACTCTACGAGTTCGAGTTCATCTTCGACCGTCTCCTCTACTTCAACTACGTCTTCTCTTTCGTTGAGTTCGGATACTTTGGTTTCTGGCACCAGTACGACCTTAAGTAATAGCATACTTTCGAGTACATCAAGCCTACCAGCCAGCCCAGTAATCTCAAGCACTTCTCCATCATCGTCGGCGTCATCTTCAACATCGTCCCAGGGATCATCAAGCAGCGTCAGTTCGCTCTACTACTCAAATACAACCTCTCTAGCGACAACTTCAAGCCAGTCAGCGACCTTGAGCACTTCAGCCTCGACTACACCAGCGTCAAGCGTTCCCAGCAGCGGACCCCCCCTTACAACTCTACCGCTTTCTTCAACGTCTCCTACTTCAGTCTCTGCTTCAATCCCTTCTGAGACGTCGAGCGACGGCGCTCCATTGTCAAACACGTTTCCTGCCTCGACAACAAGTAGTGGATCCAGTACCCGCACTTTACCAACCACGGATCCCCTCCCGATAGATACGAGGTCTACAAGTCCTACTCTCCCATCCACAAGTAGTCCTCCAGTGTCGAGCACTGCGTTCCTTCTCACAGTCACCGTACTGAATCAACCTGCACCAAGTCAAACCCTTAACCCCTAGGTGAATGAAGTGCGAGGAAAGAATTTTGTAAACATATCTTCAGTAATCACGTAATGTCATTAAATGTAGAGTTATATCCACCTAGAACAATCCCCCGGGGAGGAATGAATTTCAAAAGACGAGCTATATTTGAAAGATTTATTTGATTTTTACTTCATACCTAGTCAAATTGAATAGCTCGTTATGCTTCAAGTGCATTGATTTGACTTTGCGGTTCAATTGGAATGGTCCTGAAGGCCCCATTACCAGGTAAAAGAGAGAGATCTGGCTTTAGACGAGACATTCTGGCAAGAGGATTGTAAAGTCTGAGACGGAGACCCATACGAAAAGGGTGTTTGCTAGCCTGAAGATGAATAAAGCCCATCAACGTACGACCCCGCAAGAAAGGCTATCAGTTCATGCCTCATCGTTTTTGCATGTAGATAGATAAATGGTACCCTCATACTCATTCAATAAGCGCCCCTTCTCTACGAAGCGCATTCTCCACTTGCCCCCGTCGGGCCTGGGAACATGAGGGCAAGCAAGCTACCAGTCCAAGGCTCACCGTAACGTCAATTCTGGTGAAAAGAACTTTCGTTGAGCACATAAGCGTAGTTCAAAAGTGTATTAGCAGCTTCCCTCGCATAGGCCAGCCTTTCACATATTTCATTTAGCTCAAGCGAGCTTCGTTTCCAGCAAGCCTGTCATCGCCCAGAACTTACTGTTCACTTGAACTGGTAATTGTGCCGTTTATGTGTCTTCGGAGTTCTATATAGGCGAGTAGTCCTTGTCTTCGCATGGTCCAAGTAACGTCGGGAGCGAAGAGATCGGGGAGCCCGGAGGTATACCATCAAGCTTCGTGGTAAGATAATTAGGTATCAGCGGAAATTCTAGCAGCTCATCTGGAGGCAGAGAACAAGTACGGCATGTACAATGTATCATGGGAATCACACGAATATTAGATGGCGTGGGAAGCGCATACTTATTTTCTATAATGATTGATCACACTCTCTTATTTCATGTTCGAGTAACCAAAATCAGGCCTTTTACTCAGCACTCACAGCAACACCACCTGCTCGATCAGACTCCAAAAGAAATCCAGTCCTACTCATGAATCAACACATAATTTGGGAGCCGTGCATCCAAACCCAATTTCGAGCGTAGATAGACCAGAGTCCTCACCCAAACGCCCGTCCGCCATCCAAACCGCAACAAGCAGCATGTCACCGCACCCCACAGTCTCCACACAACCGACCAGCCCCGCAAATCTCAAATGATCCCTCGTCGCCCAATGATAACCCTCAATTTCAAAGCGGTGAGTCCGCCGAGCCACAGCTAGTCCCCACCTGACGCGGCAGAATCCCCAGACAAGCTCCGCCTCGGACCAAACCCTCACCTGAAGCTCCATATCGCAACCAACACCCTCAATCCCACAACCACTTCACACCCCCCCATTCCTATCACCATCAAACCAAACCAGACATCATCTCTTCAAAGAAAAAAACCATAATAAAGATACAAAGAAAGACAAAGCCGCAATGGCGCCCTCCCTCCGCGCCCTCCTCCAAAACCTATCCTCCCTCCTCCCCCACCTCTCCCCCATCACCAACGACTTCACAGGCACATCCTCAAGCCTCGCAACACCACCGACTACGTACGAACCACTCTCCGGCGCGCCAAAGTGCCCAATCGACGGCTCCGCCAGGAACGCATGCTGCCACGTCTACCCCTCCAGTCGCCTCCTCCTCACCCAATTCTGGGATGACACCGTACATGCTCCCGGCGCCGAGGAGGATTGGACGCTTCATGGGCTATGGTATGTTCTTTCTATTCCATCATCCCTTAGCTCCTCTTCTCGTGATTGTGATCACATTGGCCTGGAAGAATTGCCGCCCCCTGCCAAGTTAAACCCCTTCGGAAAGACAATCGAATCAGTAAGTACTTATCTAACTGGGATACTTGCAATAGGCCCGAACCATGCGATAGAAGCTACAAAGCATTTTACGGCACGGAGCCTCAGTTTGCCAACATCACCGATATCCTGAAGCATTACGGTCAAGATGACCTCCTGGCTTTGATGGAGAGATACTGGGTAGCAGCATAGTAAGCCCCTTCCCCTCCCGTGGTCCCCCACTCCGGCCCCCCTCTTCCCCGTCTCCGTCCCCGTCCCCGTGCATCCCCGGCCGGGACCAAGCAGCAATTCCCTTCCGGCCCATCATCGGCCGAACCCAAACACTCAATCAACAATGCTAACAAACACCCTCCCTCGCAGCGGCACAAACAACAACCTCTGGGCCAGCGAGTACAACACCCACGCAAGCTGCATAAACACCCTCTCCTCAACCTGCTACGACACCGCATACGCCCCCGGCATCGAAGTCGTCGACTACTTCACCCGCGCCTTCTCCCTCTTCCGCCAACTCGACACCTTCACGGCGCTCGAGAGGGCCGGCATCACGCCCTCGACCTCCAAGCGCTACGCTCTCGCCGAGGTGACCAGGATGCTGGAGAGGCTGAGCGGCGGCCGCGTGGTGCTGCGGTGCTCCGGACAGGGGCGCGACGTGCTTCACGAGGCGTGGTACAGCTATTCTCTAATGGGGAGCCTGCAGACGGGACAGTTTGTTCCCACGAGCGACCTGGGAAGCTACGGTGACGCGAGTAACTGCGCAAAGGAGGTCAGGTACCTGCCCAAGAAGTGCAAGGGCAACTGCCCGAATGCGGAACTATAGAGCTATTGTCGAGCTCGGACTGCGCTTTGGTTATGATATGCACGATGCTCTTGGGACAATGTTTGGTTTACACAATGGGATATCTGCTTTTGGAAACTGCTTCTGGGAATACTCGCCAGGCGTTTGGACAGGGAATGGGGAGTTTGGTCCGGGCCATCAGTGATTTCCTTCTGTCCGGGACCGAGAATTGTAGTGCTGGTCTTCGGCAGTCATGCTGTAACAAGTCAGTTGTTATAAACCTCGGTATGCTCGGCATTGCCGATGCGATCATCTTCAATTCTCTTCTGTTGGAAAACTGTCGGCAAATGACTTTGGTGTTTCAGCCTTCTCGTTGGAGGTAATTGTCCGTGGAGTTTTTCGGGTAGCCTAACGCCGACGAGGCTGGAATACCGAGGAACAACTTGAAACCGTCCTTTGATTTGGGATGATGAAGTCTAACCGTCCCTTTGATGGCTGTCTCCCAAACTCAGAGCCCAAAACAATTCTCGAAAATAACAGCGGCGTTTTCCGAAATTCGACTGCAGATAGCACCAAAAATGCTCGTGTGTCCGTTCGCACGTGTCTTGACCTCATCCGCAGCTTCTAGCCTTGACGTGAAGGATTCTTCCTCAGACGTCGACATCTCCCCTTTTGCCTCTAATACCAGCGTGCCAGCCTTGCATGTAGCCGTCGAGACAGGACTGGTGTAGTCATGGCAAGGTCTTGAAGAACACGGATGCATGCCTTATCGGACCGACCGTGGAAACTAGCGCACGCTTGTGCCGATCTGGATTAGAGCGTGTGGAGGAGGACGAGTGGGCTGAGACGGACGCCGACGCACAGCACAGCATGGTGCTATGCGAGCGTGCCATGGTCGGATTGGGCGTGGTACAGCGTCCTGTCATGCCTGGCTTCTTTGGAAAGTTGTCGAGGCATCTCCGCAGCCCCGACATTGGGCGCTTGCCCGAGCGCTGGTTCGCTGTCGGCATTTGAGGAGAAGGAAGGGGGAAACGGGGTGGAGAAGCGACGGAATGCAGGCCATTTCTCTGGGCGCTGTCATCGACCATGATCAGAGCAAGGGCTCCTTGGTCTTTGTATCCGTACTCCGTATATACATCTTTCGGTTCTGGTGCTCAGGTCGCCGTGGACCTTTTCGTGGAGATACAGGCCTCCAATACGAGTGAAAGTCGGTGTTTCTCAAATTCCATCTCACAGGCCTAGGAAAACCACAGCGGGTGTCAACAGTTCCGGTGCCACGAGGTGGACAAGGTGAGAACAGCAAGGGCTGGAGACGGGCAGATTCTTCAGCCCTGCCAGAGATTTTCAGAGACCAGAGGGCAGTGCGATGTAACCTGTCCAACGCAAGGACCGTGACCAAGTTACCAGAGCCCGTGGTCGAGTTCAATAAGAAGAAATCATTGCCCCTTGTCTCATGTGTTGGATCCAGCTGCTGCTGTGCGTAGCTATTCAGAGAATGCCATTTCATGCTGACAAGAGCGACTTCCTCGTTCGCGGTGCCTCCTCTTCTTCTCCCCTCGTCCATAGTCCACGGGTGTACCGGCATTCGCAGACGGGGGCAGTGTTAATGCCTGTTAGCGTCGACGGCTTCTGAGGCGGCGGCAGCTAACAATGTTGCCTCATAAGCTGCTTCTTTGGTCTCCGCCACAACGGGGCTTCTGCTGGTGCCGTTGAATTATTGACAAAACTTGAGCCCCGATGTGGGCACACGACACCGATCTGAGATGCGCCCAAAGTTAGGAGCTCGATTGGTTTCAATGACATTCCAAATGGTCACCGTGTTGCGTTGATGCAAATGGACTCCCTGGTGACGAACGACAGCTGAGCAGCAAACTCTGGGTATAGCCAACTCGTGCACTGATGATCAAGCTGCAAACGGCTTCTTGCATTGGCGAAGGAGGGTGGCCACCGAGAGGTCGTGGTCTGATAGGTGGGCTGAAGCGAATGGAAGCATGATGGAAGACGCTTGGAAGGTGGAAGGTTTTCCTCATGCGCTATTCTAGGGCGATCCGGGGACTGGCAAGCCCAGGGTTAATTGATTGAGGGTGGTCAGTGTGAGTCTTTGCAAT